AAAAAACGCAAGTGACCAAGCAAAGCCTTAAGCTCTTACTGTTAAATTCAATTGAATAGAAAGCTTTTTTTTGCACCTTTACTTAAATTGTTCCTTAATTTTGTCTCTGTCATTTCAATTATATTTTTTAAGAAGTTTTTAAATTGTTTTATTTTCCAGAGACAGGCCTGTTTAATATATTTTCTAAAAGAAGGTTCAGTTTAACAAGTTGAAACAAAAGAAATACATAAAAAATAGATTACTTGGTAAAATTTGCATTTCAGTAAAATTTTAAATTTTTATATATGTATATATGTATATATGTATGTGTATATATATATATATATATATATATATATATGTATATATATATATATATATATATATGTGTGTGTGTGTGTGTGTGTTTGTGTGTGTGTGTGTGTGTGTGTATATCACCACGTACGATATCACCACATGGGCTCAGGAGAGAAGCGAAAACGGCGGACACAGAAGTCTTTACAGCAACATGGACACCTCCAAAAGGTGTTAAAAGTGTCACATACTGTACTTAAAAAATGTCATTTCCGTCTTAATGTAATGTATTTTTGGCCGCAAAATCACTCATAATAAGTTTGATTACTACCGAGAGGACTCGCACATGCGAGCCAAGGATACCTACTTTAGTGAACAGAACCTGCGTAGGCTGTGAATAAAATCTAATTAAGTTGTAAATAACGTTCAGTTTGTTGCACAGAGCAATCGTTCGAGAGTCCGCAGGAAGTATGATTTGCATGTGTGTGTTTTTTTCTCTCACAGTGATGGCAGTTTGAGAAATAACAATAATAATAGGCTACTTATATTATTTTACATATTCACAATCGTGAAAAAAACGAGATCTTTATTCTAAGCAAAAAATATATATATATAAATCGCGATTCTCATTTAACTAATTTGGAAAACCATTGTCAAATACCACAATATGTAGTTACATCCACAAATGCCAGTTAAAGCTGTACTGTGCCAAAAGGAGGCCCTATATTAACAGTGTCCAGAAGTACTGTCGACTTCGCTGGGCTCGGAGCCATCTGAGATGGACTATCACACTGTGGAAATGTGTACTGTTGTCAGATGATCAGCATTTCAGATATTTTTTGGGGAGAAATGGACGCTGTGTGCTCCGGACTAAAGAAGAAAAGGGTCATCCAGACTATTACCAGCAACAAGTCCAAAAGCCAGGGTCTATCATGGTATGGGGTTGTTACTGCATTTGGCAAAGAAAACCTTCACTTCTGCGATGACACCATTAATGTTGAAAACACATCGAGATTTTGAAGCACAATATGCCGCTGCCACACATACCACATACTGCACAGTGCACACATTACAGTGTGCCCTGTCTGTGGAGAAAGAGGATACAGGTTCTTGACTAGCCTACCCGCAGTCCTGACCTGTCTCCAGTAGAGAATGTGTGGCACGTTTTAAAGTGCAAAATTTGACTCCAAAGACCTCGTACTGTTGCCTACCTTCAGAGTTGTTTGCAAAAAGAATGGGACAAAATTACAACCGAAAAACTTCATCACTTAGTGTCTTCAGCCCCTAAACGTCTTTAAGTGTTGTGAAAAGGAATGGCAACATTACAAAGTGGTAAATGCTTTAATGCTTTAAGAACCTGAATTGGAATATGTGTTTATTTAAAAATAAATATCATGAAGAACCCATTAAATAATGTTTGTTGTTGTATTGTCTGCAATGAAATACAAGTCAAAGTAAATTTAGAAATCTTTTTTTATTTGCATTTTCCATACTGTCCTACCTTTTTCTGATTTGGGGTTGTAGTATAATATAACCTTTTGTAGAAAACTCAAAAGTTTTATATTACTATTTGCAGGTGTTGTATTATCATAGCAACTATAGGATAATAACACGTTTATTCAAGTACTTTTTCTAAAACATCATGTATTTACTATACATTGCTATGTCTTTTTCCATTTGAGCTCAAAGGCTTTTGGTGTCAAGCCACAATCCCTGTGTGACGGTTTGAGTTGTTGAACCGAACAGCATCAATCAAACCCTGTCACGGGTCGCCATGCTAGTTTAGCGCTGGTATTTTGACAGCAAGCACACATTGACCCCCTCCCTGAGTAAAGCTGATATCATTGTGTGAGGAGTCTCCTACTGTTGTTTGTTTTGAGCACTTAAAGCTTCTTGACTCCTGTGCTCAAGATGTAGTGAAAAATGAGGCTTTTTGGAGGCTTGGCTTAAAATCAAGTGTTCAGAACACGGCTATTTGCTTGCTGCACCTTTTGAACTTTGTCTCTTTGAGTTTGAAGCTTTTTGTAATGTGTCATTGAAAATGGTTTTAGTGGGTAGCAACAAAGTTTGTGTAAAATAAAATTTTACTATGTTAATTTTGCTAGCGCACATTGTTAGCGCAGTTTGCCACCCGCTTCAGCCACAATATTCTTAATCAGTTTAGTTTAGTTTGCTACATAGAAATGATGTGCAAAATGAAAGCCCTGCCCCCTACTTAATATTCTGTTTCAGTTGGAAGTACATCAACATAATGAAATAAAAGTCTCAGCACCTTCCCCTTCACACGTAGACTTCAAAAAACGTCATCAATTTCAAACCAAAATTGACCACTTGTTTTTCGAATTAGTTAAGACCCTTCAGTCTAATTTAGTCACACTGTTTGCGTAATACCTTGTTTTGGTGTGCTTTCTCACAACAGGATCATGTTTACCCAGTAGGTGGAAAGTAGCTGGTCTCTTGTGACTGTTTGAACACAATTAACCACAAGAGCGATTTGCACTATGGAAGTAATTGGTCCAAATTTGTTTTCGACAGCCTCTGGAAGTGGTCAAAGTGGACATGTTCTGATGGTTAACTACTTGTCGTCAGATTGACGAAGACGCGTCTTAATATCAAGTTACAGGTACTTACTGTGGGATAGGGCTAGGCATGGATGGAATGATAACAAGGTTTACTGCGGTTTGGAAAAAGGGTTTTAATACCGCTAAAATGTTCTGTTGTACCTATCCCAAGGTATATGTAAGGTTTTTAATGTATTTTTTGTTGTTGTATAGAAATGAGTGTTTTTGAATCTAAAGGAGAGAGCAGAAGTCAATGATTTATTTTCATTATTATTATTTAGTCTGACATGTTTACTGCTACAAAATGATATTAATGTTTCTTAAAATAAAATATATTGTGTTGTTTTTTTGGTTTGTTTTTGTTTTACCTAGACGTTTGAAATAACTTATTTTAGAGCAATAATCACAATACCGTGATATCATGTTTTTTTTTATTTTTTTTATTCAAGGTTATCATACCGTCAGAAACTTACACCGGCCCATGTCTAGATAGGGTTTCACACTATATCGCTTGAGCATAAATACTTTAATGTGTGAATCTGCAGTAGTTACATTGGAATAATAGTTAATCATAAAACACAGTTAACACATGACTTGAACTATTTTTAATTGAACTATAATTAAATAGTGACAGATTTTTTTATTTAGATGTTTTTTAAGGCCTCTGACTGTACAAATTCAAGTACATTTGAAATTAAAGTAAGTTTGGACACAAAAAATTGAAAGATTGTTTATTTATACAGAGAAGACCGTATAGTGTTATTTCGCATTTGCAATTTGTACCGTAATACTGTAAGACTCCAATGGAAACTATTTTGTTGATTTGTATCTTTGTTCTGTTGTTTTGTAAGCTGTAATTTTGTATATATCATGCAGATGCACTCCCCTATAAAATCATCAAATCAATGTTAAATTACGAATTAATAGTCATCTTGTGAAATTATTCTCATATCGCAATACTAAATATCCCAACGTCAGTTTTTTCCAATATCATGCAGCCCTACAGTGTGATGATCCTAATGACACGTTTGCAATGTTTGATGTACTACAAATGATGAGTTCAGATGCAAAAACCTCTAAGTGTCATCTGGAATTTTCTTCTACTATGAGGATTTTTCTCAGCCTCTTACGTTTGTGTTGTTTTGAAAGTGATAATAAAATAACCTATTAATTGCTATAAAATTAAAACTACTGAATTAAGCCTGAGAAAAATCCTAATTTTAGAAGAACATTATAGAAGGCACTTAGAGGTTTTTGTATCTGAACCCTTCAAATGTTTTATAAGGCACAATATTGCTTATTATGTTTGGTTTTGGTAGTGACAACACCTAACACAGCGTTTAAGGAATATTTGACTGTATTTGTGTGGAAAATTAGAAAAAAACTTACCTCAGAAAGTATTGCTAAAGAAAGTCAGACATACAGAGCTGTGCTTTTGCGTGTCCCTACATTGTTTTCCTACACTGTTCCACACTCTGTTCACTGTGAGATAACAGAGCCCTGCAGGTCTCAGGCTCATCAAAGCACAGCTCCAAACTCATATCAGAGTTTCCACTGAGGATGTGGGGCCAAAAAAACACATATCAGTGTTGAGGAAGCTACCTCGAAAGATACAAGCTAACTGTAGCTAAACGCTAGCAGCTGCTCTTCATTTGAAGGGCAGGTTGTTTGCTAAGTCAGTTAGCTACACTACAAAACTGCTAAATAAAATGTGTACCCCAAAATTTTCCATGATAGATGACACTTTCAGTAAGGTGAAGAACGTTTAATATTTTTTAGCTAAAACTGTGGTCCTTTGTGATTCATAAAATCAATTCAATAGCTAACGCCCTTTTGGGAGTAAACAAAAAAACACAATGCCTGTATGTGTTGTTTTTTTAACTCCTAAAATGCTGTTAGATGAATATCAATATACAAAATAAATACTTATGGCTCCTTGCAAAACATCAAGGTCTTAAACTTACATACACATATCATGTATGAGTTTTCACCCTTACAATTGTCATTATGTGACAAGACCCTCGCTCTCCAGATTGTCATGAACACACTTTATAAATAATAATTATAAATGTTTAGTTCACAGTCTAATTGTTTGGCTTTTTAAGGCCTCCAGTCTGTGCATTATCTGGAGCCACAGTATTTATTTTGATTTGCCTGATTTTTCAGGTAGGTCCAGAGCCACTGACTTCAGATTCAGCTAAACATCTTTAAGATTTCACTGTGGAATTGAAGTCAGCTTCTCCTTGGATGACCTGAGGGTGAGTAAATTAGCAGGATATTTACATGTTTCCATCCCTTACATTCTGAATCAACTAGTTATCTCAAGTGAATTAAAAATTTTATGCAGAGCATTTGTAAAATAGCTACATTTATGCATTGCAGTTACCGTTGAAAAAAAAAAAAAAAAAACTATATCAGTACTAGGGCTGCACAATATATTGTCTGAACATCATTATTACATTGTTTGTATCTGGAGTAGACACATGGCAGGATTAGATTATTTATTAAAGATTAAAAGATAACGATATTATTGTTTTAAAATTATTTATCCAATGATGACCATGTTATTTTACGTTTGATTGTTCCATTGCTATTGTCACCGACTCTGTCCCAGTCATTCCCCTAGCTGGCCAGCAGAGGTCATCATCACCAGACTATTGAACATTACAACCCATTCAGGACACTGATTACACAACACCTGAGACTCGTTACCTCATCACACACACACACACACACACACACACACACACACACACACACACACACACACACACACACACACACACACATACACATATAAGCAGCTCTCACTCACACTTCATTGCGAAGTCTTGTTCTGCCCTGCTGACATTTCTGAGCGTTATTTACCCTTGCATGATCTCCTGTTGCCAACCCGGACTGTTCTTCGACCTTGCCTTGCCTGTTGCCAACCTTGAACCTTGCACTGTTTTCTTGATCTTGATTCTCGCTGCCTGCCTCTGACCCATGCCTGCTATACTGACTTACGAACGCCAGCCAGCAGCCTATCGACCTTATAAGCCTGAAATTCATGTGAGTTCATGCACCAGTGCATTCTGTGTTTTTGTCATTAAACTGTGTTTAATAAACGTACTGCAAATGGATCCCCTTTGTGTAAGACCCCTCGTTACAGAAGACTTCGCCCAACATACTCGCTACACATCAACAGCAACTATCTCACCTCACTCGGCTGACCGAGGAATTGGTCAAAGCCCTCCAAGGATTGAATGTCTCAGCCCCAGCGCAACCCACCGTCAACTACTCTCCTAGCCATCCACCAGTCACCATCGCACAAAACCTCCCCAGTCCTCGCCTAGCGTTTCCTGAAAAGTTTAATGGCGACCCAGCTAAGTGTCAAGGCTTTTTGCTGCAATGCAAATTGTTTGTCACCCAGAAACCTCACATGTTTGCGGATGAGAACAGCAAGATTGCGTTTGGATGCTCCCTACTCGCCAAAAAAGCTCTTGACTGGGCTACCGCTACTTGGCCAGACAGCGCGCCCACTTTTCCAACCTTCAAAGACTTTCTTCAAAGGTTCGTGTTTGATCATCCTGAGGGTGATAGGAATGCAGGTGAGGAATTATTAGCCATACAACAAGGAAAGCAACCAGCGGTCGAATTCACCCTACACTTCCGCAACTTGGCTGCACAAACTGGCTGGTCCGATGATCCACTGAAAACCCTCTACCGAAAAGCGTTACACCTCGAGTTACAGACAGAGTTGGCTTGCCGAGATGAGGGGAAATTCTTGGATCAACTTATTGAACTTTCCTTTCGTCTGGATAATCTACTCCGTGCACGAAGACCATCCCAAATGGTCTCCCCCATAAACTCTCCCCAGCATGCTATAATCCCAGGATGGCCTTGGTTACACACCCATAACCCCCACATCTCCTGGAGAGAGGCTGAGATAACAAGATGGAGTAATTCATGTCTGGTTAACTGTCTGCATTCTATTGTTTCCATTCAGCTCAATCCCATATCTACAAGTGTTGAAGCCTTAGTGAACCCAGATATTCCCAAGGTTTATAGTGATCTAGCCGAAGCATTTAATAAACAGAAGGCCACCAAACTACCTCCTTACCGTGAGTACGATTGTGCCATTGAATTAATGCCTGGTACAACACCTCCTAGTGGGAGAATCTTTCCTCTGTCTCAAACAGAAACCGAAACCATGAATTCTTACATTCAGGAAGAGCTGAAAAAAGGATTTATACGCCCCTCAACATCCCCCGCATCTGCAGGCTTCTTCTTCGTGGGTAAGAAGGATGGAAGCTTTCGTCCATGTATCGATTATAGAGGCTTGAATGAGATCACCATCAAATACCGCTATCCCCTGCCTTTGGTCCCAGTAGCCCTGGAACAATTACGCTCAGCACGATATTTTACCAAACTACACAATGCATATAATCTCATCGGGATAAAACAGGGGAACGAGTGAAAAACGGGGTTCTCTACCACCAACGGCCGCTATGAATACCTCGTGATGCCCTTCGGCCTAGCAAACAGTCCTTCCGTCTTCCAGGCTTTCATAAATGAGGTATTTCGAGACATGTTGAACCAGTGGATAATCGTGTACATTGATGATATCCTGATTTATTCCAACTCCTTAGAAGAACATATTACCCATGTCAGAGCAGTACTGAATAGACTTATTGAGAACCACCTCTACGCAAAATTATCAAAATGTGAATTTCATTAAACTTCCATCTCCTTCCTAGTATACATTATTGGTGCAGAGGGAGTAGCGATGGATGAGAATAAGGTAGACACTGTTCTCAACTGGCTCAAGCCTTAAAACTCTGAAGGAGCTACAACGATATCTGGGATTTGCCAATTTTTACAGACGATTCATTAGGAATTTCAGCATGGTGGCCGCTCTGCTCACTACCATGGTCAAAGTAGGTAAAACAAAATTAAATTGGAATGACGCAGCAGATCGGGCATTTGTAAACCTAAAAACCCGCTTCTCAACGGCACCAATCTTAAGTCACCCAAATCCCAACCTACCCTTTGTTGTAGAAATTGACGCATTCAATACTGGCATAGGAGCTGTGTTATCCCAGAGACAAGGAGATCCAGCCAAACTCCACCCTTGCGCCTTCTTTTCACGTAAGCTCAATTCAGCCGAACAAAATTACGATGTGGGCAATCGAGAACTCCTCACTATGAAGGCGGCCATGGAAGAATTGAGACATTGGTTGGAAGGAGCCAGATACCCTTTTACTGTAATCACTGACCACAAGAACCTAGAGTACATTAGTTCAGCCAAAAGATTAAACCCCAGGCAGGCAAGATGGACTCTCAAGATGGATTTCTCTGTCACATATATTCCAGGTTCCAAGAATATTAAAGCGGATGCGCTCTCTCGACTTTGTGAGGAGGAGGTTGTAAAGGAGGAGGACCAATCCATTCTCGACGACTCGCTCATCTTGGCTCTTATTACTTGGGATATAGAAATGGAAATTTCTCAAGCCCTAAACCAGCACCCTGCACCACCAGATTGTTTAGCAGATAAAACCTTTGTTCCCTCATCAATACGAGAAAAACTCATAGAGGAGATCCACTCTAATCCCAGCTCAGGACATCCAGGCATAACAGGAACGCTCGATCTCATAGAGAACCGTTACTGGTGGCCCACCTTAAAAGGAGACATCACAAAATTCATCAAGAAATGCACCCTTTGCAACATGTATAAAAACTCTCGTCATTGCCCCGCAGGTCTCTTTTTTAACCACCACTGTTTTTTGGTCTGGGGAGCCCTCAGAACTTCCAGCGATTGACAATTGGTTCCAACACTGTTAAAACACCTGGAACGCTGCCCACACTCACCTGTCACAAGACGTCAGACATTTTAAAGAACAGGCTAATCGTCATCTGCGTCCCAACCCGGCATACTCTCCAGGACAATGGGTGTGGTTATCCACTCGTGATCTTTGCCTCAGACTCTCTTGCAAAAAACTCAGTCCCAGGTACGTTGGTTCATTTCAAATTGAGCGACAAATATCTCCTGTGTCCTATCGTTTAACTCTGCCTAATCACTGTCGCATCTCTCCTATGTTCCATGGATCCCTGCTCAAGTCTGCTGCGGGTCCAGCCGAGGTGGATAGGGAGGTGGCAGCCGGAGATCTAGAGGTCCAGACGCCGGGGTGGACATCTTCAATACATGATCGACTGGGAGGGGTACGTTCCGGAGGAACGATCATGGATCATTCGCATGGATATTCTGGACCCGTCTCTGTTAAGAGAATTTCACCTCTAACATCCGGAAATGCTGGCCCCTCGACCCTGTGGAAGAACCCGGCGTCATTTGGTCTCATACGTCAGGAGCCGTTCGGTCCCAGTCATTCACCTCGCTGGCCAGCAGAGGTCATCATCACCATACTATTGAACATTACAACCCATTCAGGATACTGATTACACCCCACCTGAGACTCGTTACCTCATCACACACATATAAGCAGCTCTCACTCATACTTCATTGCAAAGACTTGTTCTGCCCTGCTGACATTTCTGAGCGTTATTTACCCTTGCCTGATCTCCTGTTGGCAACCCGGACTGTTCTTCAACCTTGCCTTGCCTGTCACCAGCCTTGAACCTTGCACTGTATTACCGATCTTGATTCTCGCTGCCTGCCTCTGACCCATGCCTGCTATACTGACTTACAAACGCCTGCCGCCAGCCTATCCACCTTATAAGCCTGAAATTCATGTGAGTTCATGCACCAGTGCATTCTGTGTGTTTGTCATTAAACTGTGTTTAATAAACATACTACAAATGGATCCCTCTGTGTCAGACCCCTCGTTACAGCTATACGTGAATACTGTTAGACTCTCAAAAAAAACATGAAGTACTGTTTATTTCACTTTTAACTTTGCCCTGTTGTATTTATATAGGTTTGTCATTATTATGGTTTGTATAAATGCACTGCATTGAAAAAGACTTGATCATTCCAATCTATCTCTATGAATGATAAAAATATGAAATATGAACTTTCCAAATATGAAACTATTTTTATATTACCTATATTAGTTACATCTTACTAATACTGGGTTCAATCCCAGCCTTTTTGCCTTCAGAACTGCTTTAATCCTTCCACATTGACATGATAGCATCACACAGTTACTGCAGATTTGTTGATTTGTGCACATCCAGGATACAAATCCCCTGTTCCACCACATCCCAAAGGTTATCTGTTGGTTTGAGATCTGGTGAAAGTGGAAGCTGTTTGAGTACAGTG